ACTCATTGTCAAATGATTTGGTTCCATAAAGCAAATTTAACATAGGCCTAGATCAAGCTTAGTCACTGTGGCAACTTATGCTGGGAAACTAACCTGGTCTAAAACAGGCTAACTGTCAGGCTAATCTAAGCTCCTCTACTGACCAATAGGAACATAATGATATTACCACTGTCTCAGTTTATACTAATGCTATTACTATTATTATTACATACTATTATTAGATTTTTTTTTTTTTTACAGTTTCTAGCCATGCAGCCTTTCTCTCTGGTTGTATTACAGCTGTACCTTTTATAGTTTGCAGAACAGACAGCAGAACATTTGAACATTATTGCTCTTTAAAGCATTAAAATAACTAAATTAAAAGTTATCACTGTATTAAAAATTAAAATAAATAATAATAAAAGTGACTACATTTTAACTGCTATAAGAAACACATTAACTCATTTGAGCTTAGTAATTAATACTGTAGCCTACTAGCTTACATTTGATTTACCTATTACAATAGTCCACTTACAGTTACTGCTATCATAAAAATACACTTTATATGTCGGTTTAAAATTCTACAAAAGACACCTTTAATGTCCAAAAACAATTTTTTTAGCAAAATGTATAGTTTACTCAGAATTATTGCGCTTCTATTCGATTGCGCTCTGTCTGTTTAGCGTGCATGCGCACAGCAGCGCTCGGTAAGCCTCGCCCACCCCTGACAGTAAAATGGATATGTTTGCATGACTTTCTAACATTTACAGATGAAAAATATACTTGTGACATGTCAGTTATGCACTGAGGAAAACAACGTCTCAAATGCATTAAACAGCACATATTTGCTGTTTGTCATGGTGGATCGATTTGATTCATGATCGACATTAAGGTCTGCTTAAGAATAAGCGTGCACAAATTTGTGAGATTGTGTGAATTTAATTTGTCGTTAATGGAACCGCTTTAGCCCGATTGATTTGTTAGGTTATTTCTAGTCAGGTTTTGGACTTTAATCCCAGTTTTTCCTGAGTGTTTTTTTCTTAGCTTTAAGAGAGTAAATGCAGTGGGGGAAAAGGGAACACAAAAGGCAGAATTAGAAATGTGCTTTTCTAACTGTTCTTCTGCTCACAAACGCAGCCGTGGTGCTCAGGAGGCGCTGAACCCCGAAGACGAGGTGGATGAGTTTTTGGGCCGTGCCATTGACGCTCGCAGTATTGACCAGCTCCGCAAAGACCACGTGAAGAAGTTCCTCCTCACCTTCCAAACCTCCAGCCTGGAGAAGAAGGTCAGACTCAAAGACGGTGGCTGAGATCCAGCTTCCCGTCCCGATCTCCCCACTCTTTCCAGTTTAATTTAGTAGTGCCGATCGTCTAGCAGACTAACAGGATGGATGAGATCATCAGAGATCAAATGTCCTCCAATTTCCTGTTTGGTATTTAAGAAGAAGAAAAGTAGACTGAATTCTTCAGAGTTGTTCAAAGCAGTTTTTAACATGTCATTAGGTTAACAGAGTTTTTTGCGTGGTTGTTAGTCATTAGCAATCAACAATAACTCACACAGCATTCATTTTTGGCACAGATTGGTAAACAAACATATTTTAATATTTAATTTTCTTCTCTTGTTTCTAGTATGCTAAGAAGGTAGACGATCGTTTTGGCGGTTACGTGGCCTGTACTCTGCTGGTCTTCTGTTTCATCTCTTTTATCAAACCTCCAGCCTGGAGAAGAAGGTCAGACTCAAAGACGGTGGCTGAGATCCAGCTTCCCGTCCCGATCTCCCCACTCTTTCCAGTTTAATTTAGTAGTGCCGATCGTCTAGCAGACTAACAGGATGGATGAGATCATCAGAGATCAAATGTCCTCCAATTTCCTGTTTGGTATTTAAGAAGAAGAAAAGTAGACTGAATTCTTCAGAGTTGTTCAAAGCAGTTTTTAACATGTCATTAGGTTAACAGAGTTTTTTGCGTGGTTGTTAGTCATTAGCAATCAACAATAACTCACACAGCATTCATTTTTGGCACAGATTGGTAAACAAACATATTTTAATATTTAATTTTCTTCTCTTGTTTCTAGTATGCTAAGAAGGTAGACGATCGTTTTGGCGGTTACGTGGCCTGTACTCTGCTGGTCTTCTGTTTCATCTCTTTTATCCAGATCGTCATATTCCCTCAGTGAGTGATCCACACACACACACACACACGCTTACTTAAAGGGACAGTTCATCCCAAAAATGAAAATTCTGTCATCATTTACTCACACAAGTTGTTCATGTTCAACGGTCATGTTTACCATTGCTCTACTAAATTTTGTGAGCGAAATCCAGTCATTGCAATAGGAATCGCCACATTTGGGAGTTTCGTGTGAGGGCAAAAAAGATTTGCAAATTTGCCTTGCTGACCTACAGAAAGCTGCTTGGTTATGAAGCGACTTCTGTGTGAGAAGTCTATTTTGCTATTGACAATAGAACTAGATCTGTTTTTACCATGCTAATGCTAATTGCTAATGTGACCGCACCTGAATCCTAATAGAAAATGTTCTGCATTTTTACAATTTTGAAAAAGTAATTTTTATACTGTTTTTACAAATGAAGGTAATGATCGAAAAGTAGTTTGACCAATAACATGCAGGCATTGTACATAATCGACCAATCGTGGCACGTGAGAAGGTGAGATCTATAGAGAACGGTCAGAGCGAATAATAAAAGTATAGCGCATCCACTAGTAATCATATATAAATGAATCGGTTTTTACCGATGCAAATATGTTAGAAATGATGCATCGTGATATATATGACAACTTGTAGCCGATGCACACTTTTTAAACCGATGGGAATCGGGGAATCGGGGAATCTTCCCATTCCTAATATACATGTACACTATATATTTACTATATATGTACATAATCGACCAATCGTGGCACGTGAGAAGGTGAGATCTATAGAGAACGGTCAGAGCGATGCAAATACGCGTACATATTAGGTGTGTTCGAAAAAAGAGGACGTATGGTCGCCCGTCAAAAGGAGGTTTTGTCAGGTTTGGCTCACTTCTGTACAAAATCTGTACAAATTTGTCCCCAATATATGGCTAAGTATGTACACAGATGCACACACTCACACACTTAACATGAATCTGAAACCTCCTCTGTTTTGCAGTACTCTGGTCATGCTGGGAATATACATCAGTATCTTCATCATTCTTGCCAACATCCTTTTCATCTGTGCCATTTACTCCTGCGTAAAGGTAAGAGGTCTGCTTATGCAGTTTTTCATTCTCTTGCATCTTCTCTTGTACGAACGTGTACAATTGGGCTTTCTTTCCCTCTGTCTCACAGCTCTTCCCTGCTGCTATGCAGACTGTGTCCAAGAAGATTGTTCAGTCTCGCACCAACAGCACACTGGTGGGAGTTTTCACCATCATCCTCGTCTTCATCTCTGCCTTTGTCAATATGGTATGCAGAGCTGCCAAATCACTTCACACACAACATTAGTGTGTCTAACACTTTAGCTAACAATCTTATTTCTTCCAAAGAGACTGTATGGACACACATGTTACTTAAAATACCAATTCTATCATCATTTACTCACCCACGTCGTTCCAAACAAGTATGACTTAATTTCTTCAGTGGAACACAAAGTAAAATGTATATATATATATATTGATTGATTGATTGATTGATTGCATAATGGGATTTTTTACACTGCAAAAAAAAACTTTTTGTTAATGATTTTTCCTTTTATGGTAAAAAAAAAAAATAGATCGAATGGTAGAAAATTTCTTTAAATATAATGAGCCAAGTCAAAATTACTGTGCTGCTCTTAAAAATGTAATTTATCACAAAATCTCAAATTAAATTGATAGTTTTATACTGTAAATTATAATGTTATGATTTGTGATGCATAAATTCATTTGTAACATTTAAAACAATGGATTTTAGTCTTTATTGTTTTTTTTTTTAATTTTTTTTTATCAATTTCAACATTTATTAATGATCTTGCATAACATGAAACAACATGCTTCTCTTTTATTCAAGAGCACAAAACTTTTCCTTTGCCCTTGACTGTTTCAGAAAGAGGAGAAGGCCATGATGGCTAAGATGCAGCGCACGCGGACGAACTCCAATGAGGGTCTGGTACCGCGATGGGTGCCTGACAGATCCTTCTCCAGGACTAAAGACTCCAAAGTCTTCAGACAGATGGTGAGACCCCACATGACCTGTCGGTCAATCTGTCCAACATTAGTGTGTCTAACACTTTAGCTAACAATCTTATTTCTTCCAAAGAGACTGTATGGACACACATGTTACTTAAAATACCAATTCTATCATCATTTACTCACCCACGTCGTTCCAAACAAGTATGACTTTTTTTTTTTTTTTGCCAAATATCCAGAGTGTTGTAATCCGTACAATAAAAATAAATGATGACCAGTGCTGTCAAGCTCCAAAAATGGCAGAAAAGCATTAGAAATGTGCAGCGTGTTTATTTTGAGGTGAACTCTCCATTTAAAGGAATCGTTCAACCAAAAAATGACAATTTGCTGAAAATTTACTCACCCTTTAAGATGTAGATGAATGTGTTTCTTCATCAGAACAGATTGTAAGAAATGTAGCATCATTTGCTCACCAGTGGATGCTCTGCAGTGAATGGGTGCCGTCAGAATGAGAGTCCAAACAGCTGATAAAAACATCACGATAATCCACACCACTCCAGTCAATCAGTTAATGTCTTGTGAAGTGAAAAGCTGTGTGTTTGTAAGGAACAGATCCATCATTAAAATGTTTTGACTTTAAACAGTCACTTCACATGGATTATGAGTCCATAATCAATAATAACGCTTCCTCCCGTGAAAATATCCATCCCCTGTTGTCCTCTCACTTCAAAACCCACCATTATATTCGTTTAGAACTGTTTTCACTTGTAATCTGTGCTTGATCTGTGCATATTTCTCTCCTGTTTCACGCGAGACAACTTTTTTCACTGAAGAAAGCAGTAATGATTATAAAGGACTTCAGCCGAAAGCGATAGTTAGTTAAAATGCATTAATGATGAATTTTCTTACAAACGCGCAGCATATTTATATTTCACATGGCATTAATTTATGGAGTGGTGTGGATTATTGTGATGTTTTTATCAGCTGTTTAGACTCTCATTCTGACGGCACCCATTCACTGCAGAGGATCCATTGGTGAGCAAGTGATGCAATGCTACATTTCTCTAAATCTGTTGTGATGTAGAAACAAACGCATCTACATCTGGGATGGCCTGAGAGTGAATAAAATTTCAGTGAATTCTCATTTTTGTGGTGAAATATTCCTATAAATGCTTGTATGTATGCCTAAACTGATTATGTATTTCGGAGCCTGAGTGTATGTTTTGTGTTTCCTGCAGTTTTCCTGTGATACACGGAAACTTGTGGACTGTGTAGCAGAGCAGTTTAACTGGTCGTCCGAGATGGTTACTCCCTGTGTCATTCACAACTTGTCTCGCTCTGCAGCCGACGGCCTGAATATCTGTCCCAGCAACACTCCCTCCTGCCCCTTCCCTGAGGTAAAACGTGTGCATAGTCACACTAAGATCAAAACTTTGCCGCAAATGAAACCGGATTCATGTTTTATCCCTTATGCCTCTTTCAGTATTTCAGCTACAGTGTGCTGCTGACCCTGTTGGCCTGCTCAGTGTTCCTGCAGATCAGTAGTATAGGGAAGCTGGCTTTAATGCTGCTCATCCAGCTCACTTTCCTGCTGCTTGTGGAGTGGCCAGAGGTGGTGCTGTTTGACAACGCAGACCTCTTCGTTACTGCCAATGCCCTGTGAGTACCGCTGCCAGCCTCTAGAGGGCGTCAGTACAGCTCAAACACCACAGACAGAAGTAGCTTTGAAGTGGCTTTATGTTCAGAAGATCATTTGAACCATAACTGGAGCTGATCTGTGGTCTGTTGTTTGTGATTATTCAATAATATAATGACATTACATTCATTTAGCATTAAAGTATTAAATACTGTGGTTTTCAACAATGTTATTTTAGTATAATTTACATACTACTATATTATAAATTAGCTTTTATTTTTATATTTTCAGTTTTCATTTGGAGAAAGTTTTAGTAATTTTGTTATGTGCTTTTGTCTATTTTATTGTTTTTTATAATGCTCTATTTTTTAGTGTATTGTTTCTTTAGTTTTAGTTTCAGGAATTTTAGTACTTTAGTAGTGAGTTTTTGATCTAGTATATTTCATCTATATTTAAGCTTTATTTCAATTAACGAAAATTATTTTTAATAGTTTCAGTTTTCAGTTAACACAACTGGTTTGCAATAATTATAATATATAAAATAAAATAGAAATAATATGAAATATAGAAAATATAAAAATAGAAATAAATGCTCTAGGGTTTAAGAGTTGTTGGGATGTGAACCTTTTCACTGCATGTTAAAACTAGTGTTTTTGCTGTTCTTTTTTTAGTGTTTTCAATGAAACTCTGCTATGGTGAGACCTAAATTCATCTCTTATGCTTCCCATTATTCATAATTTACAATTTATTGTTTCTATATATGCAAAAGTGTTTAATGTTCTTGGTTTTTCCACAGGTCCAGTCTCAATACGACTACTGAGCAGTGGTATGTGCAATTAATACAGTCTCTTTTTTCCCATGTCTTCATCGTTTTTTTGAATGATTTTTAATGTTTTCTTGAAAACACCAAATCTTTGCTGTGGCTGTGTGCTGTGTTCTGTTACCTCCATGCTGTGATGTAAATAATTTATCCTGTGGCTGACCTGATCTCTCTCATTTCAGTACTTTCAGGGTGACTAAAGTGTCCCTAAAGGTCATGACCCCAGTGATCCTCACTGTATTTGTACTAGCACTGTACCTACATGCCCAGCAAGTGGAGTCAACGGCTCGTTTAGACTTCCTTTGGAAACTTCAGGTCAGGGTTTGAGCCTACAGTATTTTGGCCAACACCAAAAGTTGAATCACTAAACTACAGCTACAGATCTTTGTTGTTGTTAGCGTGGTACACTAAGATATACAACAGCATGTCAATAATGTCAAGAAGTAATTTGTTCATAAAATACATTGAGAATATGTACAAAATATGTAATTTGTCTGTTCCTCTACAGGCCACAGAAGAAAAGGAGGAGATGGAGGAACTTCAAGCCTACAACCGCCGGCTTCTCCACAACATCCTGCCCAAAGATGTGGCCGCCCACTTTCTAGCCAGAGAGAGGAGGAATGACGAGCTGTACTACCAGTCGTGTGAGTGTGTGGCCGTCATGTTCGCCTCCATCAGCAACTTTTCCGAGTTCTACGTGGAGCTGGAGGCCAACAACGAGGGAGTGGAGTGTCTGAGGCTCCTCAATGAGATCATCGCTGATTTTGATGAGGTTAGAGATTTGTGTTTGAAAAGAATGAGAGAATCTTGAATTATTAAACCATTCTGTATGACCAATATGAAACTTTTGAACGGTAGTGTATATTTATGAAAACCTCTCCTCTCTTGCAGATCATCAGTGAGGAGAAATACAGACAGCTGGAGAAAATAAAGACCATTGGCAGCACCTACATGGCCGCATCCGGTCTTAACGACTCCACCTATGACAAGGAAGGCCGCTCGCATATAACCGCCCTGGCCGACTACGCCATGCACCTCCGCGAACAGATGAAATATATCAATGAGCATTCCTTCAACAACTTCCAGATGAAGATCGGTGAGTTTCAAAACCTGCAAGGTTACACATGAGTCCATTCTTCACGGATTTGTTTTTCTAAATGTTTGAAAAAGTTTCTTCCGCCAAATCAAGCTCATGTGGTGCATGATTGTGTGTCAGTAAGTCTCTTAAAATATCACATAATTTGACCTTTTTATGAGAAGGCGATATTAGTTCAGGGTTCATATAAACAGAACTTTCAGAATCTAAAATTGGATTGGATTCATTCAGACTGATGAAAATTAGTGCATGTAAATATACTTATTGAAAATTTGGTTGTCGTTTTTTCACCATGATAAAACTGAAAAATGTAACTCAATTTTTATGACAAGGTGTCATGTGGTACGACTACCCACAAATACAACAGTATTTTAAAATGAATTATTCATGATCTATGTAAAAAATACTATTTACCTTTAAAGTTTATTTTAAAAAACCTTCTGAAAATATTCAGATGTGTATGCATCTCATTAAAGGTGCATAGAAAATATGTAATTTTAACTTGATAGTTATACCCAGTGTTAATTAAAACGATAAAAAATTTTACATTTAATAATACTAATAAATTTATAATATTAGATAAAAAACATTAGATATTAAAAATGTTGCCTTGGCAATTAACTAAAATAAAATAATTTTAAGCACTAAAATTAGTAGTGCTGTCAAACGATTAATCGAGATTAATCACATCCAAAATAAAAGTTTTTGTTTACATAATATATTTGTGTGTGTACTGAGTATATTTATTATCTATAAATACACACATGCATGTATATATTTAAGAAAAATATGTTTTGGTTTATATATAAAATATTTATATTTATATATAAATTTTATA